CCCCAAAACCCCAAAACCCCAAAACCCCAAAACCCCTTTGTTAAAAATATCGAGCAATTAATATAAAATAGAAATTTATAATAAAATTATGTCTGCCATTAAAGTAAATAATTTATCATTTCAATATTTACATTTGGTCTTCATTTCTCTCTATTATGAATTGTTTGCATCTTATTTACACTGGCAGAATATCTCATCAACATATAATTTAAGCACCTTAAATCTAATTTTCAAATATAACTTATCAAGTCTTTTACTTCATCATTATAATAACAGTTAACTATTTTCATGGTTTAATCCTGTTATAAAGGATACATTAGTTTATGATATGTGGAAGTTTAATTTTTTAAATCTATCTCGCTTTTAAACATTTCATTTTGTAATTAATCAAGATTACTAAGGGACTATTAATTTTTATTATCAGTTTTGAGATACTCTAACTATATTTGCTTCTATATATTGTTTTAATCATATTTCATTTCTACTTTTCCCTGTTACAAACTTTTATTCAATGATTAATCAACTTAATTTTTGGGAGAGTTGTCTTTTGAGACCTAGTAACCTTAGTAAAGATCAAGATTTTAGTTAGAAATTTAATCGTATTTATCAGAGAATATGCTATCTTAAATTATTTGAGAATTATAATTGAGTTGATTTTTATTTCTTATTATATTAAAATCATGGTTGTCTTGTAGATGATTCAAGGTTAAACTTTTATTTGAACCGATTTTATTGTAAGACGAATCTAAGCTATCTATCTCGCTAAATGACTAATTCTCACTTAATTCATTCAAATCTGAATCACTAAATAAAAGTTTAGATTGGCTATGAAAGGAAGTAGCACCTAGGATGCCATTTTAAGGAACAGTAATTTTAGGCTTGTAAAACTGAGACCTATCCTTTCTCTTATTATAGGTATTACCAATGCACTCAATATCATTAAGCTTAATACTAACCTTTTTATCTGAAAATTTAAGTACATCTGTTCTAGTAGTTTGATTATCATATTCAATATAATTCTCACATTTAGACAACATTTTAGGAGTCTAACAGTCTAACCGAGTGTAATTAAGAAAATCATCTTAATTATTAAAAAACACTTGCTTTTTCATATTCTACTTCTTTGAAGTTGATCCATTAGAATCATTCTTTCTCATTTCGGGCCTGGAATCTCTTGGTGAGCAATTTTTTGAATTTAATCCATGACTAGATGCTAATGATTAAAGGTATGGTAAGGAACTTATCTGATTTGATTTTAATACATAATTTAGAGAATCATCATCTTGATTGAGACTTAGGTTACTCAAATTTTACTTAAAAGTATTTTATATCTTATCATTTTGCTCTCTTAGCATCTAGTGGACTTGGAAGATTTACTCTTTGGAAAAAGATGGACTCTCTTCTATTTATGTCTAAATATCTTTACTGCTTATTAGTATTTTTTTAGATGGTTAATGACTGATTTATTTGAAATCAATATCTGTGATATTGAAGCTATTGGTCTCATCTTAACAGCAAACAGAAGAATTACCCATTATAAATTATAAAATATTATTATTGCTTCGAGATTATAAAATGAGAATCATTTTCTATTGTTTTTCAACTTGATTTTTTTAGCGTTGTGGGGTTTTGGGGTTTTGGGGTTTTGGGG